AAAAAAAAAAAAAAAAACCATGGCCTTAAAACAGACAAACAGTAAAAGTGGTTTTATTAGGACATTTAGAGACAAAGCAACTGGTGGTGTGCCTGGATTTTTCATCTCTTAAAGGCTGTTTCGGCAGGAAGTGGTTGTTCACACCTGTAATCCCAGCACTTTGGGAGGCCCGGGTGGGAGGATCGCCTGAGGTAAGAAGTTCAAGACCAGCCTGGCCAACATGGTGAAACCCTGTCTCTACTGAAAATACAAAACTAGCCAGGTATGGTGGCAGGCACCTGTAATTGCAGCTACTCGGGAGGCTGAGGCAGGAGAATTGAACCTCGAATGTGGAGGTTGCAGTGAGCCAAGATCGCACTACTGCACTCCAACCTGGGCAACAGAGCAAGACTCCATCTCAAAAAAAAAGGTTGTTTTGATATTGTACAACACACCTGGATAATGTGCAAAGTTGGGGTTTACCATGTGACAGAGCTAGGTATTAAGCCCAAGTGACCTGAATTATCACTCCTTGGAGGTGACATCAACCCTGTCAAAGTGTAAATGATTTGTTCTTTCACCACCTCTCTGATACCAAATTTTGAGGAGTGGGTTCAAGGTTGTGCTTCAGGGGACACCTACACTTATTTATCATGTAAAAGAAAATGCACTAGACTACCATGTGATGCAGGGGGTTAAATAGGTTTTTTCTAAAAAAAAATTGACAAAACCTATATGGACCATCATGGGTAGATATGAGAACAGGGTGATTCTAATAATCAATAAGATGATTTAATAAGGTCTAGTTAGTCCCAAGAGTCCCCAACAGGGAAGAATAAGCAACTGCAGAGCATTTCCCCAGCCTCCTACCTCCCCTTATGACAGGACACGCCAATGAAACCCCACCTCCTACTCTAGAGTGCCAGGTCGGTAACTGTTTAGCCAAGCATGCTGGGAGACACACAGAACTGAAGGAAAGGAGTATCTGAATGACTTAGATTTTCTTTCCATTCTGTTCTGCTCTGTTCTCCTAATGCCATCTCGTTACTAGACGTAGGCATTAGACGTGACAATCAACTGCATTTCAACTGAGAGGAAGAAATATTAAAGACACAGTCTTCAGAAGGAATGGCTCAAAGGCAGTCTCAGTCACCTAATCAGACTTTAATTTCAATCTCAAATGACACAGAATCATCAAGCTCTGTGGTTTCTAACGATAACACAAATAAAGGACGGAGCGGGGACAACTCTCCAGGAATAGAAGCATTGTGTGCCATCTACATTACTTATGCTGTGATCATTTCAGTGGGCATCCTTGGAAATGCTATTCTCATCAAAGTCTTTTTCAAGACTAAATCCATGCAAACAGTTCCAAATATTTTCATCACCAGCCTGGCTTTTGGAGATCTTTTACTTCTGGTAACTTGTGTGCCAGTGGATGCAACCCACTACCTTGCAGGAGGATGGCTGTTCGGAAGAATTGGTTGTAAGGTGCTCTCTTTCATCCGGCTCACTTCTGTTGGTGTGTCGGTGTTCACGTTAACAATTCTCAGCGCTGACAGGTGAGTTTCTTTTCTCTGTTATATTTGCTAGGATGTTAAATTGGGCAAAAAGAAAGGAAAGCTTGTATTTGGCATTTACTGGCTACTATTCTGCTTTTCTCACACTCTGTAATGTGTATGTGAGATTAGAAAATCTGGTGGCATTTAAAATAAAAGTTAGTGTAAGAGTGTTAAAATTTCTGTGTTAGCACAGAGTAGAAGTTGAAATTGCATGCTTTAGGGGTAATTTCTTCTTATTGTTTGCTCAAAAGAATACTGAACGGGGTTTTTATTTTTCCCCAGATTATTAAGTAAAGCAAATTGTTCCAGGTGCAAAAGAAAAAAAATTCATGCTTTATACATTAGTGCAGCCTAGTGGTGCAATATAGTCAACATGAAAACCAGCATAGGTGTAAAATTGACCACATATGCATTACTGTATATCGGAAAAGTGGTAAAAAGATACAGGCATCTAATTCATTTGAAATTTATCAAATTAGCTAATAGCAGAGAAACGGTGAGATTTTCAGCTCCCTGGTAACTTAGTGTAATGTCATCACTTCATTCTACTTGTTTTCTCTATAGGCATTTCAGTGACATTATCGTTTCCAGAGAAATAAATTAATCCTGGATGACTTTTAGAGCTCTGTGGAGAGAGTGTGTGAGATCCTCTTGCAGTCAGGGTGCTCAGATTCTGTGTTAGGATACTTTCAGTCCAAGTCCTCTGTTTTTCTGTGCTCCTACTATAGAATGATAACTGTGAAAACATAAAAAAATTTGAGGCTCCACATGTTAAAAGTGATGCTTTAAAATGCCTTCAAGAAGCCTATAAGTAATCAATGTCTGGCAGTACCAGAAAGAATAGCTTCTTCAGATTTTAGAATCTGAGAGGGGGAAAACGTTTCCCTGTGTCTTTTTTGGATTTTTGCTTTGACTTGTCTTATATTCTATTTGAAGGCAGAATGGCTTAATGATTGTAGATTTTAAGGTGGATTTGATTGAATGAAGAGGCATCTCTGTACCGGCACAGGACTTCTGATTGCAACTTCGCTTTGCCCTAAATCTTTCCACTGATCAGCTTGGGCAATGAATTAACATTTATAAATGGGGAAGAAATTAATCCTTTCCTCTTTACCATATAAACCCTTGGAATTCTTTTCTAGGAAGGTTGATAACTGTTCACTCATGAAGAAAGGAAAATTAATTCAGTTTAACATCAGTCACTTATACAAAAGGAAGTATTTTAGAACACTTAAGGTAGTGCACAGATGGTGAATTACTCTCAATCACACATGAAATCATGCTGATAAATGTTTATTTGTCTTAAACAGAGAGTCTATACATAAAATTATAAAACTGCAAATCTGGAATATCTCATATGAGTGAATAATGGAAAAGGTGATTAGCATAAATAAAAATATTGGGATGTACTATGTGCATTTAAAACCATAGCCAGTTCTAGTTGGTTAATATTGACTTGGTTATATATGTATGCAAGGATGGTAGAACTGGATGACCACTAAGGTCACTTTAACCTTACAATTTGGTAACTTTGACATTTATTTGGACCTTTGCCTCTGATTATGTGTTTCTAGATACAAGGCAGTTGTGAAGCCACTCGCGCGACAGCCCCCCAATGCCATCCTGAAGACTTGTGTAAAAGCTGGCTGCGTCTGGATCGTGTCTATGATATTTGCTCTACCTGAGGCTATATTTTCAAATGTATACACTTTTCGAGATCCCAACAAAAATATGACATTTGAATCGTGTACCTCTTATCCTGTCTCTAAGAAGCTCCTGCAAGAAATACATTCTCTGCTGTGCTTCTTAGTGTTCTACATTATTCCACTCTCTATTATCTCTGTCTATTATTCTTTGATTGCTAGGACCCTTTACAAAAGCACCCTGAACATACCTACTGAGGAACAAAGACATGCCCGCAAGCAGGTATGTATTAAGCATTATTTATGCAAGCCTAGTTTGAATTTAGAAGTGAAGTCCCTACTTTTGCACAGTGAGTAACTGTGTATCCTCCAGTGTATAAATGTAACAGCAGTGTAGTATTTTTGTTATAAGGATAGGCTGCAGTTTGAATCCCAGCTGTAGCACATACTAGCTGAGTAATCTTAAGCAAGTTACCTAACCTTTCTGAGCCTCACTTTCCTCATCTGTAAAATGAAGATGATTACTAGATGATATAGACGAAATGCTTAGATGCAGAATATTTCAATAAACAGTAGGACTACTACTGTTAGGGAGGGGACAATTGAAGTTCGAGAGTAATAAAATTTTTTTACCCCATAGAATAGTGGGGAACATTGTGTAAGATGACACTATGAAGAAAAGCATCTTTGGTTTTAGAAAGTGTAACAGAATAAAAATGCATAGCACGTAGAACTGGCAAGAATCCATAACACTATTCAATGCAAACCAGTTACACACAGATGAGCAAACTGAGGTGGGGAGGAGGGAGGGTGGAGAGTGGAATGCCAGTAACATGGGAACACAGTGACTCACAGAAGCTTGATTAAGACCATTGCAAGAGCCAGGTGTGCCCTCCTCTCATAAATATGGACAGAATAAAAGGAACATTGCTAAAACATAGTTCCATTTGATTAAAAATATTTTTTTCTAACTACTGGGGAAGGGGGAGAGATGATTCCATTTACCCCTTGATCAGTATTTTAGAGCTAGTCCATTCAGTTAGTTTAACAATAGTGCTCATGAGACTGAAGTTGCATATTTAATGCCCATGTGAACTAGTTACCTTTCCTCTATTTGTGACCACGGGCTACATATTTACCTAACTGCTCACTTCTCTTACTAATAGATGTAGGTAGGATTATCTTCACATATGAAAGACAGCACATTTTGGGTTTATTTCTTTGACTACATGGTTAGAATTCCCATAGAGTAAAGACAATTTTACATACCAGATTGGCAACTTTCATAGACCTGAAAAGAATATTCTGACCTAGTCAGCCTCTGCTGATGCAGTGAAAGAAGTTTCGTATAGCGTCTATCTGTTTTTGATTACACTAAATTTTGGAGAATTCCACAGCATTCTTTGAGTTAACTGGAGACATCCTAGAGTACCTCAAAATTAGCGGGGAGGGTGTCTCTGGATGAGAGTTAATGAGTCCAAAATCTGGGGTTACTATGCCAATTGACTTGTGGTGTTATATAGTCACAGGCTGACTTTCTGCACATCCCAGCCACTTAGCATACAAATGCATGTTCATAGGGAAATCATCTGTAATTAACTGTAAATTTCTATGTAAATTTAGACAATCTTAAAAATCTCCAACAGCTAAATGATTTCTCTCTCTCTCTCTCTCTCTCTCTCTCTTTCTTTCCTTTTTTTTTTTTTTTTTTTTTTTTTTTTTTTTTTTTTTTTTTTTTTTTTTTTTTTTTGCTATGTTTCTTCCCCCTGTAGATTGAATCCCGGAAGAGAATTGCCAAAACGGTATTGGTGTTGGTGGCTCTGTTTGCCCTCTGCTGGTTGCCAAATCACCTCCTGTACCTCTACCATTCATTTACTCCTCAAACCTATGTAGACCCCTCTGCCATGCATTTCCTTCTCACCATTTTCTCTCGGATTCTGGCTTTCAGCAATTCTTGCGTAAACCCCTTTGCTCTCTACTGGCTGAGCAAAACCTTCCAGGAGCATTTTAAAGCTCAGCTGTTCTGTTGCAAGGCGGAGCAGCCTGAGCCTCCTGTGGCTGACACCTCTCTTATCACCCTGACTGTGACGGGAAGGGTCCCGGGCTCTGGGAGCACACAGGTGCCTGAAATTAGTGTGACCTCCTTCCCTGGGTATAGTGTGAAGAAGGCAGAGGACAGAGTCTAGCTTTTCAATGAAAAATGTTGTTTCTCTTCCCAGCGTGTGTATCCGACTCTAAGGTGTATCATGTCCAGATTTTTGTGTTGTTTGAGAATTGCGTTGAAATCTTAGGAGTGAAGGATCCCTGTAAGTAAAAGACAAACCATTACTTTCTTCAAAGTACAAATCAGTAATGTTATCGGGCTTTCTAAATAAAATGAAGCCCCACTAAGTGCAGAAAGACAAGTTTACATATGCCAGCAAATTATAAGGGAGGTTGAATAGGAAGGAAGGTGTAATAAACAAGATGAAACTTAAAAATCTTATTTGTTTTTAATCACATCTGTGATGCTTCTTATTCCTCGTATACTGTGATTTGCATAAAACTGTGTTTGTGTTTATTGTGTGGTGTAAATCTAGAGATACTCTGTATGTGAAAAGGGGATCACAAAAGCGATAAAGTATCTCTCACGCAATTTTCTTAAAAATAAACCTTCACAGAATGGCTGCCCTTTTCCATTCATCTCTATTCCACTGTAACTGAATCTGTGCAGTTGAAATGAAAATGTTTTGGAGTCAGCGAATATTAAGTACTGATTAAGGATCTGGGGCACAGTGCTTGCCTTACTGGGTCAGCACTTACTGACTTAATGTAGTTTTAACACTTCCAACTGCCATGGATTAATAACTGGGCTAAGTTATCATTCACAAATATTGTGAAGAACTTGCCTTTTTCATAGGCAGAATAAGTGGCCATGTTTATGGTGTCCTTTGAGGACCCCGTTTAAAAATCTGCAAACCTGCTACAGTGTCAAAAATTCTTCCTTTACGGAAATTCATTTCTTTCTTGGTAAGCAGTGCCCTCTTTCTAAAATCATGCAGAAGTACCACATGAAATTCCTAACCCCTGGGTGTGCAACTATGATTAGATCACCTTCCTGCTTGACTTTATTAAATCTGATGGGTGCCTAAGTCCTGTAAGTGTATGGCCTAATTAATCTCTGCCCATGGAAATCAGATGGAATGGTCTGATTTTCTATCCTGTGCTCCCACCTGCTAACGTCATTCGCTTGTTAATAATTATTGTTTTTTAAAAACTGTTGTCAATAGATGTGTCAGATTTAGATTTGTGGGTTCAGAAAACTTTTTGGAGCAAATTAAAACATATGTTTGGCACTATAGGTAAATTTGCATTTTAAAAAAAACTTATGTTTGAGTGTGCTTTTGGTACTGTTGAACTTTCTTTAAATGTCTTGTGGAGTCGTGAACTTTTGCTAATGATGTGGCTCCAAAAGGTAATATATATTAACATTAGACTTTAACTTTCTGTAAAATTGGATTACTTAAAGTGGGTGGGGGGGGTTGTGATACTGTATTAGTATTGTTTTAAAGTGGACACTGTAATAAGTGGGGAAAAACAAATAAATATGAAATAAAGTTTTAAATGACACTGTGTAACTTTATATTCTCAAAACAGTATTTCTGACAGAATATAACTGGGAACCCATTTTAATTCCAAAATGTTACTTTCAAGTCACAGAGACCTGAAATAGTTTTAATATTTTCCTCACTCTCTGTAAAAATTACATCTTTACTCTCCTAAACTCTAATAACATTTCAGATATAACTTGACAAAAGTACCAGAATACAAAAGCGAAGACAGCCTTTTGGCAGGTCATAAAACTAGAACTCAAAGAACTTTGTTTTTTTCATTATCAGCAATCCCTGAGATTTATATTAGGGATATAATATAAAATAATGCCTTAAATGGCTGTGTAGGGCATCAGCCTCCTTCCATCTGTAGTTGTAGTTGGCTTAAAAGTCACAGCTTTGCTTTGACTTTTTTGAGAGGGTGGTCTCTTTTTCAACAGATTATTCTTGTCAGGGCTAACCTTATGAGTAGGCCCCAAGAGCCACAATTTTTTTCACACTGCCTATTGCAGTGCCAGAAATGTTTCTATCGAATATTTCATTTCTTTGGAGAGAATTCTAAATGGCAGGGAGAGGTGGGACATATGCAAAATAAATTCTGTATACATCTCAATTTTGCTCGGGGTCTTCCCTGACCCAAGACTTAAAATATGGGCCATAATACAGTAATACTCCACAAAGCACGAAAACACAGTCAGAAAGTTAGGCATAACCAAAACATCCAGCAGGTGTCTTCGTCATTGAAGGTGAAACTGCGACAAAACACTTACCACTGGCATTTCTGCTGAAAACAGGAAATTCGGGTTTGCAGAATTACTGCAGTTTGAACTATGTTAGATCAGGGATTCATCAACCTTTTTGTCAGAAGGACAGAAGTCTTTTTTATTTTTATTTCCATTAAGTCTTGAGATTACAGGATGTGGGGACAGGAAAATTCCTGGATAGAGTGGGCTTGAAGGAGCCATGTAAAAAATCTGGTTTGATATAGTTCAGTAATTTTTCAGAAAGAGTTCTTAGGCCAGATAGGTGAGTCCTATGTGGAGTGCAGTCTCTGCTTTTGTAGTTTAATGTATATTTATCCATCAAGAAGGCTGTGGCCTATTAGGCCAGAAGTATAACACGGATCAGTCCAATATAAAGGTCAGAGGGAAGAATGAAACACATATTCAGAGAGAAGCCAGATGTCTAGATTCTAACCAGTTCCCCTTCCTAGGCCAGCAACCCCTTATGTGGCCCATCTACATTGCAGTCTTGGAGTTTCAGTACCATCCCTAGCTTTATAACCCACTCATTTTTTGTTACCTTGAGTGTTTCTCTAACTAAAAAAAAAAAAAACTTGAAAAAGGTTACAAACACAGAGATGCTTTCAGATTACCTCAATTACTAGGGAGTTATTCTAGGAATACACATGGAAATGAGAAGAAATAGGAACCATGCCTCATAAAGACCACAGCATTGTTCAATTAGAACTGTCAGCCAGGGGCAGTGACTCACATCTGCAATCCCAGCACTTTGGGAGGCCGAGGTAGGCAGATCATGAGGTCAGGAGTTCAAGACCAGCCTGGCCAATATGGTAAAACCTCATCTCCACTAAAAATACAAAAGTTAGCTGAGTGTGGTGGCCTGCACCTGTAGTCCCAGCTACCCCAGAGGCTGAAGCAGGAGAATCGCTTGAACCTGGGAGGCGGAGATTGCAGTGAGCCCAGATTGCACCACTACACTCCAGCCTGGGTGACAGAGTGAGACTCTGTCTCAAAAA